AATGGTCCAGCAAAAGCTGTGACACCAGTATGTAAATGCCAACAAAATGTTGCTTTGTATAACAATGAACAAGTACACATGCAAGATTACCATATCATAGCACAATGGCACAACAGCATTCAATGGTTAAATTTGAACTAGAATTTTTAACAAGAGAACTTCAACTCACCAGCAGGGCTTGGGGAGGTGAAACCTGCTTTCCCGAAGCACTTGTTGATTGTGTCTCTGGCAGTCTCTTTCCAGGCTTTGTCAACCCAGCGGATTGCATCCAGGACAGTGATTTTTTTCACAATGTCCATACCCATGGCTTCCTTGTCCCTCTGTAGCTCACTCACAATCCTGTTCATTTGTAGTTTTCTGTACTTGAGCTTCACTGCTTGGATAATCCCCTGATCCATGGGTTGGAGTCGAGATGTAGTGTTCGGGGGGAAGTACTTCAGCTCAATGTTCCGCAGGTCCATGTCGATGTGGGTGGGCGCGTTGTCCATAAACAGCAAGATCTTTCTACCTTGCCTCGCCATCTTCTTGTCGAGCTTCTTGAGCCAGTCTCCGTAGATTGCAGAAGTCATCCATGCCTTCTTATTATTGGCATAGGTGACGGGCAGTGATGATTTCTTAATGTTCTTGAAACATCTGGGGTTTGTGGACTTTCCAATCACGAGCGGTTTCTCCTTATCCCCTACCATGTTGGAACACAGCATCACCGTAAGGCGCTCTTTCGACTGTTTGCCGCCGCTACATTGTTCGCCTTTGACACACAGGGTTTTTTTGGTTGTGGCTCGAAAGAACAGTCCACTCTCATCCATGTTGTAGATGTCCTCGGGGGCATAACCTCTTGTGATTTCCACAACTTTCTCCTTCCACTCTTCAACTGTAGCATTGTCTACACTCGCACTTTCCCCCACCACTGTGCCACCTGCAATGTTATGGCGTTTCCTGAAACTTTCTAGCCACCCGTTTGAAGCCTTGAACTCTGTGATCCCTAGCTCTGATGCAAACTTCAACGCTGCTTCTTGCAACATGGGACCGCTGCAAGGAACGAGTCGCTTTCTCGTATCAACAAAGAATTCCCAAACAAGTTTGTTCACCTCTTCGTTCCCAGTCTGCCTGACGTTGCGCTTCTTCGTTGATGGGGCGTTGTTGTCCATGTCTTCCAAGTGCTCCCGCTTGCGTTTGATGATGGACTGGATCTGAGTTCGGCCGACTCCAAACTGCTTAGCTAGCTCCCTCGATGATTTCTTCTCATTCTCTGACAGTCGGATTACTTCCACCTTCTGGGCTAAGGTCAGCGCCTTTCTCTCCGCTTTCGCCATCGTGCTCTCCGCCACGAGAAGTCGAAAATGACTGACTTGTTCTCGGACTCCACGCCATATTTATACAATTAAAATTGTCTGAAGAGACCGGTATCGCGATGTTTTTTATCTTTGGTGAGTGCTTCGCGTGACCAACACACGCCACAAAGTGTAAATTTCTTTTGTATCTTCAAAACAATTGTTCTTCAGTTCGTTTCCGATCGTTTTTGGACATCAAAACGTAGCGGCAAGTTTCCTTTGTTTACGTCGGCTTGGGTTTCTTCCAGCGTCGGTAGTCTTGCCTCTGCCATTATGCCAATGTGGTAATCAACAGAAAAGTCGGTCCGTTTAGTCGGTCCTTTTATTTAAAAAATCCACAGTAGTCTTAAATTTGCATCGTAAGATAGCAGCACTAATGATTTTTGACTGTTTTGATACTGTAATCGGGAATCAAGCCTACGGCCATAATAATCCCCGTCATGGTAGCGCCCCGAATAGCGATAATTTATAATTTATCCAAAATATTTTGCAGAAAACATAGTCGCTAGGATATAAGATTTTATAGGGTTCACTTTATTACGAGTTTTGCTTTTGTTTTGGTTGTAAAACGCTTAAAATAGCGTGGCAAATTTTTTATGCAAACCCACGCCGTGTATATTCGTGACAAGCTCAAATCGGCCTACAGGCTGCTTTTCATTGAGGTCATGAGGGAACTTCCAAAGAGGAATTAGGGCCAGACAAAATACATACAGTTTACATCTTTAAAAGTTTTACCCAATTCATCATTTTTGATGGTCAAAAGCATTAAATATGGAAATATATGTCAATAAACTACACTTTTTAAGTCTACCAGCATAATTTGCCCCTGAAAATGCAGGGAATTTGCATTTCAGAGGGTCAGGATATGAACATTTCCCAGGGGAGCATGAATCTGGTACCCCCCCTAGGATCATGATATGTTACATAAAATACAATTGGGATTATGGAAAAAGTTTCAGGCTATCTAGAACACTGCATTCAAATTACAATATATTTTAGAGTGAGAAAATGACAAGTCAGTTGTCTAAGTATAATTAATAATAAGATGAAGAACTGCTGTTTTTAGACAATTTTTTATTAGATGTTGTCATAATATTCCTTGTTCTTCTGAATGCATAAAGACACCACTCCTGATAACTCCACTCTTACTTTTTATCATTATAAGAAAAAAATCTGTTCAGCAGTCTGTAAACTTAAATTAAATGATAATGTCTATGAATTTATTCATTTTTTATGACTCTTGTTCTTCAGGGGCTGCATGACAACCCAAAGCTGTGTGCACTGTATGTAGTAAAAGGATCATCAGATGGTATGTATACATCTATTCTGTACCTGTCTGGTAACATTCACCAACTTTACATTAAATACATGTACTGTAATTCATTTTATCAATTTGAAAGTTTATGTTCACGGTAGCAAAATTTCACTGTCTGACAAAAATGAAGGTATTCTTGGAGCTATATCATGTTCACAGTTGTGGCATTGGTGCAGAAAAAAGAAAGTTGGTGATTCATTTCTTAATTTCTCCAAAAATTCTGGTCGATCTCGTCAACTTTGTCTTCCTGAGACTCTTGATGCACTCCTGACGTCATCATGCTTCTGCCTTCCGCAGAGTCAGCATAGTGGATCATGCATCTGATGAAGGTTGATGAAAACGACTGAAAATTTATGGTGAATTCTTGTGAATCGAATAACACAACGACCTAATTTTTTGTACTAATTTTCTTTCCCCAGATGTTCCCAAATTGCCCCCCATCCCGGGAATGGAACCAGACGAAGAAGAGGAGTTGTCCAGGGACAAACCAGACAAGGCACGCAGAACCTCGGGACCAAAAACACCCAATCCATACGACAGCGATGAAAGTAGCACCATGTTCCCCATCCTAATGGCCATCGGAGTGTTCCTCCCAACCTTGTTTTGTCTGTGTAGGTTATGACACGCCCACGAACAGTTATTCATGTGATGTATATTTCATATTGTACCACTGTGCGACTGTGTATCAACATACATACTGGTAGTGACTTACCAAACATGATTTTGTAAATGAAATCGGAGTGGAAATTATTGAGTGGCTTAGATATCTCATACTTCATGTAGGACTGCTGCAGATAGAAATTCTTTTCAGACTTATCCTAACCCCAGAGACTAGCATATTGGGCATACTTGTACATTATAAACATTTCCTGAAAATAGTCAAAGGTATTATTCAATGAACAAAGATGTTTAGACAAACATACACTGTTCTGATGTTAGGAACATCAAACCTTACAGGCCTCCCTTCCAGTTGATGTTTTCTGTGGCTTCTATGGATTACATGGCGGCAGAAATCAAGAACTGTATTGTTTGTTGTAAACATCTTGGTTAGTTTAATGATACCTATCAATACCTACTTATGTTTTCAGGAACTGTTGAGTTTAATATATGGTCTTTTATGCAGATGCATGTAATGGGGATTTGTTCATCTGCTTTCATATAGAAAGAAGGAGGGACAAAGATGATTTTATTAAGACCATGAAATTGAAAAAGGAGAGTCTTCTTCAGGTAAAGGCTTCCTTTATCAGATTATTAACATATCTTAATCTGGTAACAACTCAAGAACTTCATTTTTTCTTACACCTGAGGAGGTTCTCAACTGTGGTCTGCTTTACTTTGAAGAGAAAAATTAGGTCTAAAATGTAATGAAGGAACATTCCAGGATTGTTACATTGATTACGGTTAGACATCCAGATAAACAATATTCAAAGACAAATCAAACTCTACTACTGCTAACTGGATAAATTAGTGAGACTTCTTCCAGACGTTTCAAGTGACAACCGGCACTCTTCTTTAGCATCACTAAATGAACTGAAAAAACCAGTCAACACTAATTACATTAAATATGAGGAACTGGAAAAAGCAGTTTTACATGACAAAGACTCGTAAGTGTCACTGTTCTGCAATGATGATAGGGTAGTTCCGATGGTAAGACAATATCATAGGAACTGTTACTGTCATTTGGGTGGTGGCAGGGGGGGTTCTATGTACTCAAGAGTTCTCCTCATTTAGATAAAAGTGACACAAGTCTTTGACTTTGTCATGTTCAACTATTTTTTCCAGTTCCTTCACATGTTATATACATGTAGTTAGTGGTGCATACCTAACCCACATTTAGGTTCAGGTCCGGATTCAAGTCCAGAGGTTTAGGTTCGTCCGGACCTAAACCCATGGCATATACAAAATTGCATGTTGGCAACCTTGCATTGTTGTCTGGGTGAAACTTTGGCCACATAACATGGAGGCCAGTACTTGTCGATGCCCGATGGCAATGTTTTCCTCATTTTGCAGCAAAGATTTTGCAATCTACGGAAGGTTTTAGGTGGTTTGGAAAGGAAAGGGGTATGTGAAATGATCTTTTATGGTAATAAGTCCGGACTCGGTTCTTGACTTTTAGGTTTTTTTGGACTTGGTAACCTAAACATTCTTACAAGTCCAGATCCAAGTCCAGTG